TAAATGCAAGATATGCAAAGAAGCCAAAAAAAAAATGTGACCCAGAACCAGGAGGAAAAAAAAAATCATTATCCAATCAAAAAATGGACAGAAGACCTAAACAGACATTTCCCCAAAGAAGATATACAGATGGCCAACAGAAAGATGAAAAGATGCTCAACATGGCTAATTATAAGAGAAATGCAAAGCAAAACTACAATGAGACACAACCTCACTCCAGTCAGAATGGCCACCATACTAAAAAGTCTACAAATAACAAATGCTGGAGAGTGTGTGGAGAAAAGAGAACCCTCCTACCCAGTTGGTGGGAATGTAAGTTGGTGCAGCCACGATAGAAAATAGTATGGTGGTTCCTCAAAAAACTAAAATAGAGTTGTCATGTGATCCAGTAATCCCACTCCAGGACATATATCTGGACAAAACTATAATTCAAAAAGATAAATGCACCCTATGTTTATAGCAGCCCTGTTCACAATAGCCAAGACATGGAAACAACCAAAATGTCCATCAAGAGATGAACAGAGAAAGAAGACATGGTACCAGTGTATACGATGGAACACTACTCAGACTCAAAAAAGAATGAAATAATGCCATTTGTAGCAGTGCGGATGGACCTAGAGATTACTGTGTTAAATGAAATACATCAGAAAGACAAATACCACGTGATATCACTTGGATGAGGAATTTAAAATTTAACCCAAATGAATTTATCTAAGAAACAGAGGCAGACACACAGACATAGAGAACAGACTTGTAGTTGCCAAGGGGGAAGGGACGGAAGGGAAGGATGGAGTGGGAATATGGATGCAAATTAACATGCGTAGAGTGGAGGAACCACAAAGTCCTATTGTGTAACACTGGGAACTATATTCAATATCCTGGAGTAAACCATAATGGAAAAGAATACAAAAAAGAATGTGTACATATATGTACGTTTAACTGAATCACCTCTCTGTACATCAGAAATTAACACAACATTGTAAATCAACTATACTTCAGTAAGAAAAAAAATCAGTCATTAGAAAGAGAGGTGATAGAATTAACAGGCAAAGACTTTAAAAGCATTATCATAAATATGCTCAAAATGTTTAAAGACAAGTGTGAACATAATGGAGTGAGATGGGAGATGTAAAAGAAGAACAAAATCTTACTTCTAGATATGGAAAGTACAATAGGCCAAAAGAAAATTTTACTGGATGATAAAATAGCAGATTCAGTTCAGTTCAGTTCAGCCGCTCAGTTGTGTCTGACTCTTTGCAACCCCTTGAATCGCAGCACACCATGCCTCCCTGTCCATCACCAACTCCCGGAGTTTACTCAAACTCATGTCCATCGAGTTGGTGATGCTATCCAACCATCTCATCCTCTGTTGTCCCCTTCTCCTCCTGCTCCCAATCCCTCCCAAAATCAGGATCTTTTCCAATGGGTTAACTCTTCGCATGAGGTGGCCAAAGTATTGGAGTTTCAGCTTCAGCATCAGTCCTTCCAATGAACACCCAGGACTGATCTCCTTTAGGATGGACTGGTTGGATCTCCTTGCAGTCCATGGGACTCTCAAGAGTCTTCTCCAACACCACAGTTCAAAAGCATCAATTCTTCGGCGCTCAGCTTTCTTCACAGTCCAACTCTCACATCCATACATGACCACTGGAAAAACCATAGCCTTGACTAGACGGACTTTTGTTGGCACAGTAATGTCTCTGCTTTTAAATATGCTATCTAGGTTGGTCATAACTTTCCTTCCAAGAAGTAAGCTTCTTTTAATTTCATGGCTGCAATCACCACCTGCAGTGATTTTAGAGCCCAAAAAAATAAAGTCAGCCACTGTTTCCACTGTTTCCCCATCTATTTGCCATAAAGTGATGGGACCAGATGCCATAATCTTAGTTTTCTGAATGTTGAGCTTTAAGCCAACTTTTTCACTCTCCTCTTTCACTTTCATCAAGAGGCTCTTTAGTTCTTCTTCACTTTCTGCCATATGGGTGGTGTCATCTGCATATCTGAGGTTACTGATATTTCTCCTGGCAATCTTAATTCCAGTTTGTGCTTCCTCCAGCCCAGCGTTTCTCATGATGTACTCTGCATATAAGTTACATAAGCAGGGTGACAATATACAGCCTTGACATACTCCTTTTCCTATTTGGAACCAGTCTGTTGTTCCATGTCCAGTTCTAGTTGTTGCTTCCTGACCTTTTAGATAGTACTAAAAGGAGACGCCAATAAATTGACATCATTGCAATAGAAAGTATACAGTATAAAACACAAGGGAAAATAAGACTGGAAAAAAAAATGAATAGAGTATCACTTCTTTGTGAGACAATAACTAGTGTTCTAATACATGTGTAATTGGAGTCCCAGGAGGAGTCAGGAAAATTTTTTTAATAATGTCCACATTTTATTAATTTTTCTGAAAAACCATTTATCCAATTAGGATGAAGACAAACCATACCAAGGCACATTCCTGAAAAACAGTAAGATAAAAAATAATCTTAAAGGCAATCAGAAAAAATAAACAAATAAATGAAAGAAAAAGAAAATACATAGGAATAGATATAAGAAAGATTAGAGATCTCTCAACTGAAATTATGCAAGCCAGACAACAAAATGACATCTATGAAGTGTTCAGTTGCAACCCATAATTCTCTACTCACAAAAAATATCCATCAAAAATGAAGGGGAAAAAATGAAGGAAAAAATAGCACATTTAAAAAGTGGTTATACATATAAAGGAATATTTTCAGCCATAAAAAGGAAATTCTGGGAATTCCCCCGAAGTTCAGTAGTTAGGACTCAATGCTTTCACTGCTATAGGCTCAGGTTCAATCCCTAGTTGGGGAACTAAGATCCCACAAGCAGCACAGAGCAGGCAAAAAAAATTTTTTTCGACATGCTACAACATAGATGAATCTTGAAGACACTTTAAGTAAAATAAGCCAGTCACAAAAGGACAAACATTACCGGGATGGGGAATACATGTAAAAAAAAAAAAAAGATACACTATGGTTGTGATAAAAAAATAAATTAATTAATTAATTTAAAAAAATAAAAAATAATAATAATAAAAAAAAAGGACAAACATTTTATGATTCCACATACACCAAGTATCTAGAGTAGTCAAATTCATAGAGACAGGAAGTAGAATGACGGTTGCTCAGCGGCTGAGGGGAATGAGGGAATGAAGTTTCAGTTTTGCGAGATGAAAAAGCTCTGGAGATTGGTCATACAACATGAGTATACCTAACACTACTGAACTGTACACGTAAAAATGATTAAGATGGTTGGGTTTTATGTTATGTGTATTTGACCGCAATTAATAATTTGAAAATTTCAGGGACTTTCCTGGTGGTCCAGTGGTTAAGGATCTGCCTTCCAGAGCAGGGGATGCAGGCTCAATCCTTGGTTGGGAAACCAAGATCCCACAAACCAAGGGGCAACTAAACCCAAGGACTGCAACCACTGAGCCCACTCACTCTAGAGCCCACACACAACTAGACAGCCCACATGTTATAGAGGCCATGCTCCACAGCAAAGACCCAACATAGCCACACACACACACAAAATTGTCAGCACAGCATCTTAAATCAACTATACTCCAATAAAAATTAATCTTTTTTAAAAATTAAAACATTTAAAATGATTAAGATGATCAATTACATGTATCTGTATTTTCTACACTTTTTTTAAAAGTTAATTTTTTAAATGAAGGGAAAATAAGACTTTTTTCAAACAAACAAAAGCTGAGAAATTTTAACCTCATACACTTTTCGTGGGACTATAAATTGGTGCTGCTATTAGGGAATAGTATGGAGATTCCTCAAAATATTTACTATATGATACAACAATTCCACTTCTGGTTATTTATTGAAGAACACAAAAACACTAAGTCGAAAAGATATTGCATCCCTATGTTCATTACAGTATTATCTACAATAGCCAAGATATGGAAACAACTAAAGTGTCTATTGATGGATAAATAGATAAAGAAGATGTAGAATGCTACTCAGCCATAAAAAGGAATGAAATCCTGCCATTTGCAACAACATGGATGGATACTGAAGGCATTATGCTAATTAAAATAAATCAGAAGGTAAAAGACAAATATCATATGATAGAAGTCATATGTGGAATCTAAAACAAATAAATAAAACAAAAACAAACTCATAGATACAGAGATCAGATTACTGGTTACCAGAGGGGATGGGATTTGGTGAGGTGGGCTAAGAGAATGAAGGGGGTCAACTGTGTGATGATAGATGGTAATAGGCTATGTGACACATAAAGGTGTTGAACTATAATTCTATACACCTGAAATGTATATATTTTTTAGAAAAAGCTGAGAAATTTTATCACCCTCAGATCTATAATATCAAAAACATTAAAGAAATTCCTTTAGACAGAAGTATGATGATACCAGAGGGAAATTTAGATCTACATAAAGGAGAAAAGAAAGCCAGGAGTGGTAAATACATAATTACAAACAAAAAAAAAATCTCATTTTAAAATATATTTGAGATAATTGATAGTTTACAAATACAGGATTGTATTTTGTAGTTTATAACATATATAGACTAAAACATATTGCAATAACAATACAAAGAACAAAAGAAGAAAAGGGAAAGGGCGCAGGGTGGGGGTGGAAGAAGTAAAAGAGAGAAGAACGACAAAAACACATGGGACAAATAGAAGACAAACTGCAGTATGGTGTGTTGAAACCATATCAGTAATTACATCAAATATAAATGATGTAGAAGTTCCACTTTCAGCATGAGAGCATGAGGATCTCAGAGGAAACCAATGAAAATTATTTTTAAAAAAGTTTAAGGAGAAGGAAATGGCAACCCACTCTAGCATTTTGCCTGGGAAATCCCATGGACAGAGGAGCCTGGTGTGCTACAGTTCATGGGGTCTCCAAGAGTCAGACACAACTTAGTGACTAAACAACAACATTAAAGAATACAGATGCTGTTCATCTTGCTCTGAAATTAAATAATTCTGAACTGATGGGAAGAAAACTCAGAGTCATGCGTTCTGTCCATAAAGAAAAGTTAAAACAAAATTCAAATCCTAGTTTGAAGAATGTCAGTAAACCTAAGAAGAGACTTAACTTTGCTTCAAAAAGTGCACAAAATTCTAAAGGTTTGTTTATTGGAGAAAAAGCTGTTCTCATGAAGAAGAAAAAGAAAGGACAGAAGAAAAGTAGACAAACTAAGACACAGAAAAAGCAGAAGTAACAACCCCGAAGCTTTTTTTTTCCCTCACTGACTACTGGTAATAAAACTGTGATAAATTTTAAAAAAAGAGTTTAAATATTTAGAAATGACCCTATGAGCATAAAACAAATGAAGAAACATTTATTTTCTAAAAAATTTACTTAAACTCAGTAAGAACTGTTACAGTCTGTGTTGTTTGAACCAAGAATCTCACTCAGTCTTCTTGCTCCCAACTCAGTAAGACAGAGACTCTACTGGAGACTTGTACAGTCAAGAATCCAAGCCCTCTCATTCCCCAGGCTCTCAGTCAGAGGGCTCTCTTCTTAGAAGGGACAATAAATACATCAGCATTTCTCATTCTACCCCCAGCTACCTGTTGCTCAGACTAAATTCAGGGTAAGGGCAGCCAAGAGGTGCGGGGTTCCTTTCTTCTGCCCAGACCTCACTCATTGGGTATGGTGCAGATGAAAAAACTGATTGTTCTTGAGGCTTATCGGCAGGGGTCTCAGGCAGAGAGGCAAGCCAAGGGGACCCATGCCTGCTTCCTCCCCTCGCATCCACAGAGCAGTCAGGTCTGAAAGTGGGATGTCACTTTGAAAGAACTGCACCATTGCATCCTCCTCCAGCACAAGAGATGTGGCTCACAGATTTTGACCAGAGGAGAAGCAGGCCATAGAACAGTGAGTTCTAATCCCTTCCCAAAGGAATTGACTGCATTTGCAACCCAACCATCGAGAAATTCAATCCTAAGAGTGCTCTCAAAACCAGTGGAAGTTGTGGCAAAAGACAACTAGAAGATATTAATAGAGAAGTTATTTGACAATAGGCTCAGATAGAAACCAGCTATGATGCCAAAGAAAAACAGGAAAAGAGATGACGGCCGAGATCCTGGGCTTAGAACAAGTCTCAGACACTGACCTCAGGAAGAATCCTTTCAAAGGAGCCCAAATTTGGTTGGATTACTCTGTGAAGCAATTGATGTCCTAACATTGTGGGAAATAGAATAACCAGACAATTAGAGAAGCTTAATAGCTGAGTGTAGTCAGAGACAGAGAGAGCCAAAAAAGGAAAGACATGGGAACAGAAACTGCCTATGAAAGTGACCAGATGTCCGATTTAACCAACAATGATTTCAAAGTAGCCACTAGAAGGATGTTTAAAGAACATGTTAACACAGAGAAAACTAGTGGATTACATTTCTGTGGCAGGGAAATTACAAGGTAAACTTAGGAGATGTTGCATGGAAAAATCAAGGAAGCTTTCAAACATCAATGGAGTTACATCAAAAGTTCACAGGAGTTCATCTTGAAGGAGCTCCTATCATCCAAAGCAAGGCAGATTTGAAAACTGAAAAAGTAGTGACTGTTGTTGAATGAAACACAATGAATCTCTAAAAACCCAGAATGAAATCTGAAATGTAAAGTGAGGAAAAAAAGTGCTTTTACCAAATGTAGCAGCTACAAATTGAACAGAAAGAATTAAACATGTATCCTAACTTTTCAGTAGAAACCATATTTCACTGAAACTAAATTGTCCAAGTAATGAGAAAATATTCTTCTATATCAAAGATAGCTTGCTAATAAATGTATAAAAAAGTAGTTGAAAAATTATCATTTCCCAGTAAATAATTGTGTTATTAATTCAGGCAAAGTTTATTAATTGATGCTAATCATTAATGAGTGGTTGATAGGGAGCTGTGCCTTTGTATCTCCAAAGCAACCCCACTCTGATGGTAAGGTGAAGAAAAATATAAATTTCAAGCTGTCACTTCCTCAGTCCAGCAATCAAAATAGGTCTTAGTCTCATTAATGGTTGGACAAACCAGTGCTATGTATTTCCTTGGAAGGTGAGGGGCAATATCCAATATCATCTGTGATGTATTTTGGTTGAAAGTGTTTAAGTTGAACTAATGAAGCCTTTAAATCTAACTTTCACTTATAAGAAATACAAGAACAAATTGAATGACAGCTTGAGGAAGCAATCAGAATAATTCATAGTGAAACATTTGGCAGGAAAACTGGTCTAGTTTCTTTAGCAAGCCAGTATTATTTTTTAAAAGGAAAAAAGAAGAAAAAATAGATAAATAAAAGGAAAGCAGATTTTTAAAATAGTTAAAATGGTAAATTTTATGTGATATACTGTTTACCAAAATAAAAAAACCTACTCTACCCTGAGATGTTGATAGTGGGGGAGGCATTACAGGGCCTATGGTGCAAACTTCTGTACTTTTTGCCCAATTTTGTCATGAATATAAAACTTCCCTAAAAAGTAAAGATTTGGTGGTTTTGTTTTTTTTTCTTGGCTGCACTAGCTCTTTGTTGCTTCTCTGGGGCTTTCTCTAGATGTGGTGAATAGCGGGCTATGCTCTAGTTGTGATGTGTGGGCTTCTCATTGCAGTGGTTTCTGTTGTTGCAGAGCACAAGCTCTAGAGCGTGTGAGCTTCAGTAGTTGTGGGGCACGGGCTTAGTTGTCCCAAGACATGTGGAATCTTCCCAGATCAGGATTTGAACCTGTGTCTCCTGCATGGACAAGTGGATTCTTAACCACTAGACCACCAGGGAAGTCCTAAAGTTATTTTTTAAAAGTACTCTTATAAATTTAAAAAGGCTTAAAGGGACATAACAACCAGATTCAAAGATTTGCAGTCTGGTCTGTGATTGGATCCTACTTCAGACAGACCACCTGTATAAGTCTTTTTTGTTACAATTGGAGAAATATGAATAGGAAGTGAGAATTAGATCATTTGAGAATGCAAGAGATTTAAGAACAGTTGCATGCATGTGTGCTAAGTTGCTTTAGTCTTATCTGACTGTTTGCAACCCCATGGACTATAGTCCGCCAGGCTTCTCTGTCCATGGGATTTTCCAGGCAAGAATACTGGAGTGGGTTGCCATGACCTCCTCTAGAGGATCAAACCCAAGTCTCTTATGTCTTTTGCATTGGCAGGTGGGTTCTTTGCCACTGAGCCACTTGGAAGCCCTTAGGAATGGATAGATTGCTTTAAAATAATTCAGCACTGGGATTCCCTGGTAGTCCAGCAGTTAAGACTCTACCCTTCCATGTCATTCCATTCCTGGTCCAGGAAATATGATCCCACATGCTACTTGGTGCAGCCAAAAAGTAAAATAATAATAATAATAATAATGAATTTTAAAATAAAATACTTCAGGATAAAAAATTGAATTGAAAAGGGAAAAAAAATCATTGACTAAAATCTAAAGAAGTTTAAAGAGAAACATTTATCTGTTCCTAAAGTAATTACTCCTTTCAAAAAATCATTACAGTTAAATTTAAAATTCATAAATTAAACAAAATAATTAAATTAAGACTATAAAAATATGTGTTTCTGAAGAACTTTCCTGATTAAATTTATTTTGACCTAAGTTATCACTGTAGATTAATTTTTCACCATATATAAATTAAAAGTTATGAAAGAGGGACTTCTCTGGAGGCTTCGTAGTTAAGAATCCACCTACCAGTGCTAGGGACATGGGTTTGACCCCTGGTCCAGGAACTAGAATACCGAAGGGCAACTAAGATCATGTGCCCTAGAGCTCTGCTCCGCAGCTAGAGAGTAGCCCCCACTGGCTGTGACTAAAGAAAGCCAGCACACAGCAAGGACAACAAGCCCTTGTGCCTTATCAAAGACTCAGCGCAGCCAAAAATAAGTAAATAAGTTATGAAAGGAAAAAAGTGAAAAAGGAACACTCTAGATGAGCACATTTTATTACAGTTAACACTATAAACTCAAGCAGAATTGAAAAAACGTTACAAAATTAAATGGTACCAAATTATAATAATTACTGTCCTTGGGCTTCCCAGGTGGGTCAGCAGTAAAAGAATCCACCTGCAATGCAGGAGATGCAGGTTCGAACCCTGGGTCTGGAAGATCCCCTGGAGGAGGGCATGGCTCCTAGGTTTCAGTTCAGTTCAGTTCAGTCGCTCAGTCATGTCCGACTCTTTGAGACCCAAGAACCGCAACACATCAGGCCTCCCTGTCCATCACCAACTCTCAGAGTCCACCCAAACCCATGTCCATTGTGTTGGTGATGCCTTCCAACCATCTCATCCTCTCTCGTCCCCTTCTCCTCCTGTCCTCAATCTTTCCCAGCATCAAGGTCTTTTCAAATGAGTCAGCCCTTCGCATGAGGTGGGCAGAGTATTGGAATTTCAGCTTCAACATCAGTCCTTCCAATGAACACCCGGGACTGATCTCCTTTAGGATGGACTGGTTGGATCTCCTTGCAGTCGGTTTATTAAATATTTCTTTTCTTTCTTTAGTTCTCTACTAATTTTTGCAATTAGTAGTTTTTATTGAAGAAGCAATTTTATCATGAATATTATTTTAAAAATTAAGCAAGAATATAGGATATACACAGACCCAGCACAGCCAAAAACATTTTTTTGTTGTTTTTTATTATTTCACTTTAATATTGTATTTGGCATCCTGGCCACACATTAAAGCCAAAAATTAAAGTAACCGGTTGACCATGGAAAAAAAGACAGGGGAGGGCAGAAAGTTGGGACTTGTACCTGAAGATTTCAAAGCAAGCCACACAACACAGTTTAGAAATTTCTATTTGCACAACAGAAGGTGGAACCTGAAGCTGCTGCTGCTGCTTCTGCTGCTGCTAAGTCACTTCAGTCGTGTCCAACTCTGTGTGACCCCATAGACGGCAGCCCACCAGGTTCCACTGTCCCTGGGATTCTCCAGGCAAAAACACTGGAGTGGGTTGCCATTTCCTTCTCCCCAAAAACATTTTTTAAAGGGTGGGGGAGTGTCTGGCTAGCCTGAGTTTTTCGTTTGGGGCAGAAGGGCATCTTGACTGGCAGAGCCCCAGAGTGTACATTCTCGAAAAATAAATCGAACTACACTACTAGAATAAGGGAAATTAAATACTGGGACTGGCAAAAACATAGATTCCACCATTACTTAGCATGTGCTTGGCATATACATACATCATCTCATTTACTCCTCACAATAACCCTGTGTGCTAGGTATTAACATCTCTCAGAGACTG